TGGCGGACGTGCTCAGCGTCCTGCGACAGTACAACATCCAGAAGAAGGAGATCGTGGTCAAGGGAGACGAAGTCATCTTCGGGGAGTTCTCCTGGCCCAAGAACGTGAAGACCAACTATGTCGTGTGGGGGTGAGTGCGCCGTGGCTCCGGCCTAGGGATGGTTGGCGGGGTCGCGTCGGGCGCCCCCGGGCGACCTCTCCTCCCCTGGACCCCCTCCTCCCCCTCCGAGTCCCTCGGGGACGGGAGGAAAAAAACGGGTGCTCTGGGGAAGCGGGGTGGTGGTGGTGGTGGTGGAAAAAGTTCTTCTCTGGAGCCGAAGTTGCACTTTGAGGGTGTGGAGGGAAGAGGGGGAGCGGGTTGTAGAGCGGTCAAGTCTTTTTTTTTTCCCCCGTGTTGGAGAAGCCACAGGGAAAGGGACCCTGGGAGTTTCTGACTTTCCCAGTGGGTGCTCACCCATGTGGATCGGTTTGTCCGCGCCCTGTGGGGCTGGTGCACGTCTACCTGAACGTAGGTATAGGAGCACAAAGCACAGCATCTGGCGGCCACCGAGTTGCTTTTTGTTCTTTTTTTTTTTTGCCCTGAGGCTGCCATGTGTTGCAACTGTCTCCCCAGGCTCTTGGAGCGCCTGGGTAATTTTCTTTCTTTCTTTCTTTTTTTTTTTTTCCCCCTCCCCTTCATCATTGGGGAGAATGGTGTTATTCCTCAAGGGGGTGGGGGAAGGAATAGACTTGAAGTTCAGGAAAGAAAGAGATTGGGAGAGTTTGGAAGTCTGCAAAAATCAGTGTTCGAGATGAAAGCAGGGCTTTACTGGGGAGAAAGTTACTGGTGAAATGGAGTTGAGTTATACGTACGGGTCTGAGAAATTGATCCTCTGCTTTTTCGGAAAGCGCCCGAAAGAGGAGTGTTTGGAAATATTGATCCATGCATGCCTTGAATTTAAGTCACTCAAGAAGTCACCGAGGATCAAGTTGAATAATCCTCTGGGGCCTCTTTAATGATGTTACTGTCATTGATGCTTCACTTTGATAATTAGAATCATGGAGTCAGAATTTTGGTACCCATTTTGCTTGAATGACTTCATGAATGGTCGATTAAAGAACTAGAAAATTTTAAGATTTCTTTTGACTTATTCTCTTTTTGAAATGTTGATTAAGTGACATTCTGAGTTTACCGTGTTTTGCTCCTTCAAATAAATTACGCAGAATTATTGGATTTTAATGAATATTTTTCTTTAAAAAAAACTCAAGATATGGCGGACGTGGGGGTGCACAACTTTAATCTCAGCGATCGGGAGGCAGAGGCAGGCAGATCTCTGATTTCAAGACCAGACTGGTCTACAAAGCATGTTCCAGAACAGCCATGTTAAACAGAGAAACCAAAAACAGACCAAACCAAAAAACAACCCTCAAGGTATAAATAAGTTTAAATTGAGAAATAGAAAAAAGCTGAAAACCCTGGTTCCTGCCTTACTGGAGGCTAACCTATTGTAGCTCGAAAAGATGAAACAGATTACGTTGATTCGAAATGTTTCTAGCTGCTAGGAAGGGAACAGTTGTTTACAGGCAGTGCTCATCTTTAATCCCAGCACTCTGCAGGCTACAGCGGATCTCTGTGAGTTCCAGGCCAGCCTATACATAGTGAGTTTCAGTACAGCCAAGGCAACACAGAGAAACCTTGTCTTGAACGCCCCCCCCCCCAAAGTTGTTTTCTTCTAGGTGTGTTTGTGGGATATTTAGAGAGGGTTTCATGGAAATGTGTTTGACATGCGTCCATTTTACAATGTCCCTTCCTTTAATAAATGAATGAACAGACGAGTAACTTTTAAAGAATGGATACGAATTCTGAGTGAAATGGTGGAATAACCTTCCAGTATAGGGAATTGCATACTTTAGATCTTTAGATATGAATCCTGCAACGAGCATCCCCCCCCCTCCCCCCGCCCCCAGACAGGGTTTCTCTGTGTAGTTTTGGTGCCTGTCCTGGATCTTGCTCTGTAGACCAAGCTAGCCTCGAACTCACAGAGATCTGCCTTGCTCTGCCTCCCGAGTGCTGGGATTAAAGGCATGCGCTGCTGCTGCTGCTGCTGCTGCTGCTACTACTACTATCACCACCACCTGTCGAAAGAGCATGTTTTGACAAGAGCTTATAAATGAGTGGAAAAGTAAAACTTAGAAACAATTGAAACTTTTTTTTTTTTTTT